TGTCGAAATGTAAATGAAATCAAGAATATTTCACAATTCATATGTATATTAGATAAGTGTCTTTGAGAGTGACTGTATTTTTGTGTGCCGAATTTTACACCGGCTTGTATATTTATCAGTTTATATTTAATGTTTATATTTCTTAAATGTCTTAATGTCGTCAAATTATTGTACCGACATCTTGTAAAGTGCTAATTGATTTCATGATAACAAAACCTTTCTCCTGTACCTCCAGAGAGAGAGAGAGAGAGACAGACGATGTCATTGTACAAAGTACTAAATACAACATCTAAGCCGAAGCTGAAAATAGGTACCAGGTCCATTATCGTCCCAGTTTAATATATCTGCTTTCCGATGTTGGTTATTTTGTTTCTAATTATTATTTTTTGCTCGCCGATCGATTCCCTCAACGATTTCACTACACCATATTATTTTTGTGACGCACAAGGGTCCATTCAGTGGTTACCATTAGATTGTCTCCAGCACAACAAAGAGAACTGTAATTACACCGCACACCAGGTGCCTGCATGATTCCGATGTGTTTTTTAAATAGGTATATTCCAACCCCCCGAGGTTATTCACCTGGCCACACAAAGGACACCCAATAACCTTCAAATACGGTGCTGGTTAATGCTAAATCTATAATTTATTGTGCTGAGCTGTCGTAAACAGGGCTTGATGCTAACGTACGATATTTAATACCAGTTTAGCTGAAACGTGGTCATTTTGGTGTGGCAAAGACGTCCTGTCCCCGTGCTCATGGTGGTATTTTCAGTCTTCCTGTCCTCAATATAACCATTTGTAGGTGACTCGTTGCTGATTTAGACAGAGACTATATTCTCAGAAGCAAATTCACCAGACAAGAAAGAGTGTATACTTCGCCCAACCTTTTCTTGCCCAGTCATAGTGCTGTTGAACAAAGCGATCTTAGCGCTGAGGTTGTCGTAATTCACAAGCCTTTACATGGACTTACGATTATCTTAGCGCTGAGGTTGTCGTAATTCACAAGCCTTACATGGACTTACGATTATCTTAGCGCTGAGGTTGTCGTAATTCACAAGCCTTTACATGGACTTACGATTATCTTAGCGCTGAGGTTGTCGTAATTCACAAGCCTTTACATGGACTTACGATTATCGTAGCACTAACTTTGACGTACTTCCATACCTTAACATAGCTTACGATTATCGTAGCACTAACTTTGACGTACTTCCATACCTTAACATAGACTTACGATCACTGTAGCGCTAAGGTTATCGTAATCCCAATACCTTAACATAGACTACGACAGTCGCAGCGCCACGGTTGTCGTAATTCCCAAACCATAACATAGACTTACGATCATCGTAGCGCTGAGGTTATTGTAATCCCAATACCCTAACATAGACTACGACAGTTGCAGGGCTACGACAATCATAGACTTACGATTGTCCAATCCCAATACCCTAACATAGACTACGACAGTTGCAGCGCTACGGTTGCCGTAATTCCCATACCTTAACATAGACTTACGACTGAGGTCGTTTCTACAACGGAACCCAGGACGAGGCAGTTTAATGAACAAAAATGTCACTCGCAAGAACCCAACCTATTGTTCCCGTTATTGCATTTTTTAATATTTACCACTGAGGAGATATTGCCTCAATTCCTACGTATGACTGCACTGTAAGTACCTAGGAGCAACGCCCGTCGCTGCTGTAGCAGATGGTATCAAAGTGGTTGCTTGCAAATTACGTCACTGGGATTCTCGCACTCAGTTTTCCTATTGAATCGTGAACAGGGAAGTAATTCTTCGAGCACGTTTTAAGACACATAGTCTAGTTTTTAGAACATGTCAAGTGAACAAGTCTGTTTTTGTTTGTAAATCCTGACAACAAACAATTTGTACGAGAACAGATTACGGATAGCTTCGAAGGAAAGTCTAATGAGAGGAACTCCCACGACATGTTTTTTCCTTAGTTCATATCTGTCGTTTTAGTGGTTTGTCAACAACAATGTCTAAAGGGTATGGCAATGGTGGTATCCAAAGGCAATGGAAAATTTTGTTTACACACTGTGGTACGATCAGTTAAGAACGCGTACAGAAATGGACCTTTCAAAATCCTTCGGTGAACAGTATATTATTATAAAATAAAATTATTTACATCTATATGCTGTTAATCCTATTCGGACCCAGGTTAAATCATCCTGAGCTCGTCACGATCCACAAAGCGTTCGTTAGGTTACGACCTGTAGTAACTCTATAGTTACGAATGTCAGAGCGCTACGAACGTTTTGTGGATCGGGACCCTGGTCGTAAGTGGTGACATTAATGATGGGATGAAAACACACTCAAGCTCCGTAAACTTGTTGATTGTGTGTTCATAATATCAATCATCTGATTGTTTGCTTCAGTTCGGTTAAATAGCCGTCGGCATATACTGTGCTTCCTGCTGAAAGCAGATTTAAACAAAACCCAAGCGAACATAACTTTCCTATTCTATAAACAGTGGGTTAGCATTCCGACACCTGTTCGATATCACAAAGTTGCTATAGCAACGGAGGGCTGCATCACGTGACTTCAAATATGTCAAATATGTTTCCACGAAGCATTATCATATTTGGCCCACGTGCCGCACATTTGCGATGGCAGTATCACAACACAAAAGCGATAATTAATTGTATGTATTTTCTACATCGTATATCAAAATAATGAATCGGCCACCTGTTGCTTGAAGGCTATCTCGCCTTTTGGAATAAATAACATCAGCTTGCTATCATGTACAGCTTCGGCCCTGTAAAAATAGAATCAAACATGCTTGTCCTTATATTGAGGAGGTGATCGGTTAGCCAAGTGGTTGAGGTGTTCTCTCGTTACACCGAATTCCAGGGTTTGGTTCCCGTTTCTGGTGTTTATGAGATAATAGAATTATCATTGTTAAGAGCAGCGTAAAACCCAACTCACTCATTTCTATTGAGTAAAGGTAAACTGCTGAGCAAATTAAAGAAACGAATACCCACGTGTATTCGGCGTGACGTGCGAACCGCTAGACTACCAGTCCGTCCTCATTTCATGAGTTGTTTAACGCCGTTCCAGCTATATGGCGGGGGTCTGTAAATAATCGAGTCTGGACAAGACAATACAGTGATCAGCACGAGCATCGATCTACGCAATTGGGATGCGATAACTTGTGTCAGTCTTATCAGAGAGCCTGACAACCCGATCCCGTTAGTCGCCAGTTACGACAAACTTAGCTTGTTGAAGACCAATTCTAACCCGGATCTTCACGGATCTCTCTATGAGTAAAAAGTGAGTGAGTGAGTATGGTTTTACGCCGTTTTTAGCAATATTCCAGCAATATCACCGCGGGGGACACCAGAAATGGGCTTCACACTTGTACCCATGTGGAGAATCGAACCTGGGTCTTCAGCATGACGACTGACTGAGTTTGGTTTTACGCCGCTTTTAGCAATATTCCAGCAACATCACGGCGGGGGACACCAGAAATGGGCTTCACACATTGTGCCCATGTGGGGATTCGAACCCGGGTCTTCGGCGTGACGAGCGAAGGCTTTAACCACTAGGCTACCCCACCGCCCCGAATGACTTAAGAGGATGATGTAGTTCCATCATCATGCACGTCTATCATTGCCCTCTCAGATGGTCTCGGGTGTGATGTAGTGTGATGTGTGCCTGGGTGATGTAGCCTGGTTGTCAACAGCTGGTGTCCTCAGCCGTAATATTGATGGTAAATCGCTAAAAGAGACGTAAACTATATTCACTCAGATATATCATTGCAGTTCTATCCATTTTAATAGTTTTATATATTGGTATATAATTTGTGGTGTGGTAGCCTAGTGGTTAAAGCGTTCGCTCGACACTCCGAAGACCCGGGTTCGATTCCCCACATGGGTTCAATGTGTGAATCTAATTTTGGTGTCCCCTGCCGTGATATTGCTGGAATAGTGTTCAAAGCGGCATAAAGCTAAACTCACTCACCTTAAGAAGATGATAGTAATCAACAGAGTTCACACACTTTTATGAAAACATTCAGAACACACAAACATTCATCAGAACATTCTAGAAAACGCAGCACCCTAATTTGTCTGGGATTGCTGGATTGACTTCGCATGAACTGCACAGACCATCGAGGCGTATGGACGTGTTCGATTGACATATTCTTATATTGTTCTCTTATATGGAAACGTGACATTGCTAAACCCTCAATCAAATACTAACTGAGATATATATTGATCAGATAATCAATACCGTTTGTGAGCAATCGAGAAAAAATGTGGTTTAATAATTCAATAAGACAAGTTTTATCTGAAAACTACATAAGTTGCTTACTTCTAAAAGGTCAAACTGTTCTGTGCGTGTCAGGTATTTAGTTACAAATCAAATCTGACTATTTAAAGACAGTTTAGTGTTTGTTCCCAGTAACAAAATGCGGCAATAAGAGCCCTATATGTATTTGGTAATAAGCTATTATTCTACTTTTAATCAAGTATATAATTTAAGGACTATGTCACTTTTTCGTGTTTCTAGTGACAAAATGGTTCAGTTTTTCACTTACACAACGAAAAAACGAGGTCTGCCTGTGTTTGGTATCGTGTTGTTTAATATTGTGTTGTGTTTAAGTGAGAGTGAGTGGGTGAGTGAGTGAAAGTGTGTGGGTGGGTGAGTGAATGAGTGAGTGTGTGAGTGGGTCGGTGAGTGTGTATGTATGTGTGAGTGAGTGAGTCAATGAGTGAGTCAGTGAACACACCCACACGGCAAGAATAAGCACAAAGCGCAATCTCATACACCTACACACCGTTCAGTTTCAATTGTCTAATCATAACATTAAAATATTCACAGCATCTATACCAAGAACACCTGTCGCCAGTAACCTCAGAACCTCGATGCGTTTAGAACTAAATATACGACAACCTTCTGTGCCAGACCATATGCTCACCGCTGACAGTTCAGCCTAACTACAGCACAAGTACGGCTTACAGCGATGGACAGTGGTTGGTATTCTATCACTAAGAAATGAGCCAAACAATAGCACAGAATCTCTGATGCCGTTCAATGGGAGTGATATGCTTGGCTTCTTTGATTTTCCACGCCATGTCGTAGGCCTGTGGATAGATCAAATCGTGATGACCTGTTATGACTGATATAGTCGGAGGTTGGTGTTGTCATGATACTGACTAAAACTACAATGCAGCAGTGTTACGATTCGAGGGCTGTTGCATGTATTTGGAAGCTGAGCCTGTGTACTACAGGTATGTAGTAAATGCTGTATGTTTCATAATAGTCTGTAGTGTTGTTCTACGTTGCAGTTCGCCGCTATGTGGACACAGATAGAGGAAGAGCCGCCACACAAGCACTAGGGATGGATGACGGTGAGTACACCTTTTAACATCTTATCAGTACACAGTGGCCCGTTTCATTTGTTTGTTTGGGGTTTGTTTTTTGTTTTCTTTGGGAGGGGTAGGGTTTTTGGGGGGTTGTTGTTGTTTTTATAGTTATTTTAACACTGACTGACTGACTGAGTTTGGTTTTACGCCGCTTTTAGCAATATTCCAGCAACATCACGGCAGGGGACACCTGAAATGGGCTTCACACAATGTACCCATGTGGGGATTCGAACCCGGGTCTTCGGCGTGACGAGCCAACGCTTTAACCACTAGGCTACCCCCACGCGCCCCTTTAACACGGAACAGCAGCCATGCGGCTATTTGCAATCCATTTCAGGACTCACTGCAGTCTTGCTGTTATTCTCGACCCATTTCATCTGACGTTGCTGAAATACTGCTGAGATATTGCTGAAAAGACAAATACAGCAACACCTCCATGATCTTGACCCGTTCTTTAAGTGGCATTTAGAAGCAGGTATGATGGAAAGGAACACTGACTGACTGACCGAGTTTGGTTTTACGCCGCTTTTAGCGATATTCCAGCAACATCACGGCGGGGGACACCTGAAATGGGCTTCATACATTGTATCCATGTGGGATTCGAACCCGGGTCTATGGCGTGACGAGCCAACGCTTTAACCACTAGGCTACCCCACCGCCTCGGAAAGGAACACATTTTATGGAGTGACAACTGACCCCCTCAATTTGGACAGCCTAGCATCTGGATATTTACTATAAGGAACCTTTGATATAACATGGAGTTCTTACATTAAACCCTTGGACTCCAATTTGGATTCCTGCTCAACATCGCCACAAAATATTTTGGGGGTCATTGTATCAGTTTGCTCTTGAATTTCATACACTGCTCCCTGGAGATCATTCATTTCAAACTGCTCATGACGCACAAGGAGGTTTATATTATCTCCTCCTACCGGGTACCCATTCACTGCCGGGTCTCTATGAAAAGTACGCTTCTTCGCGGTGCGGTGGGGTAGCCTAGTGATTAAAGCGTTAGCTAGTCACGCCGAAGACACGTGTTCGAATCCCCACATGGTACAATGTGTGAAGCCCATTTCTGGTATCCTTCCCCGTGATATTGCTGGAATATTGGTAAACGCCGCGTAAAACTAAACTCACTCACTCACGTTTCTTCACACGTTGATTAAGTAATACGACGAGTTGCCTTGATATCCCGATGTCCAAATGATCATTTTATGTAAGAATATTTATTATAAGTACGATAGTTTCTTCGTGCCCTAATACTGTATTGTAATTTGGGGTCTGTAACCTCCTTTACGAACTTGGATATCAACGTCATTGTATGAATATTTAAATCAAAACGAGTAGATTGCCATAACTAGCAACGACTGATTTGATATCGAGAAATCAATAAATGAGCAAACACAATCACCATCTGTTGGCTTAGATGCAGCATCAATACCTTAAAAGCATCTGTATGGATTCTAATGATGTAGCGACAAGTTGCATAAACGTGTTTATCCTTGCATCCGCTTCATGTTTGTTATACGTATTATTATCAGTGTGTTTGTTCTGCCAACTCAGTTTTAGTATCGCTGCTAGATCTACTCTTTCACCTGCGATATTTTATGTGAATAAATATGGGATTGTGTTTCTCATGTCATGCATAAATATTAATACGACTCGGTTTAGATTGTAGTCAGATTGTGGCGTTCACCAGCTGTCATGAATTCGAAGAATGAAACTGACCAGGTCATGCATTTCATAAAATATTGCAATGAATGAACATTTGTTATGGCGTTTAAGTCTGGGTTGTTTTAGGATTGCTGTGTGCATGCGTTATCAAGTATATTCTGTCAGAGATCAATAAAAACCAGCGTTAACGGTTCGGATTCTAGCATGAGCAGCTGTTGTCTGTGTTTGTGTCTCGAACCTCTTAAACTCGAACTCGTACTTCTCGAATATTCTAGAAAAAAATTATTTTCTTTCGTCAATCTGGTATTATGTATCTTGTATCTATCGGCGAAATTTCCTCTAAAATTCTTAGATAATTTACAATTGTCATGTAATGTGACTTGTTAACTTTATTACCTGCAATAAACCTAATGCATACTATTAAATACAACAGTCACATTTCCGTGTGATTAATGTACACGGAATGAACAAACAATTAATACCATGGAAGAATTAACGCCGTATGCATAGTCGGTAATATACAAGTGTTCCAGCTCAAATGGGGGCGATGGGGTAGCCTGGTGGTTAAAGCGTTCGCTCGTCACGCCGAAGACCCGAGTTCGATTCCCCACATGGGTACAATGTGTGAAGCCCATTTCTGGTTTCCCCTGCCGTGATATTGCTGGAATATTGCTAAAAGCGGCTTAAAACTAAACTCACTCACTCCAGCTCAAATGCCGACTGTAACTCAATCAGCAACCTGGCAAATGATGAATGAAATCATAGGCAACCTTAGATGCTACGACGTAGACGACAGACGGTGGGAGTAAGGAGAGCGAAAAGAGAGAGAGGAAGAAAGAGACAGTCAGAGCTACAGAGAGGAGAGCGAAAGGCAATCCCCATGCTATCGAGCACGACAGACTGATGAGAGAAAGAAAGAAAGAACGAGAGAGGGAGGGGAGAAAGAGGGACATAGAAAGAGGCAAATAGGGAGGTCGAGAGGGGAGAGGGGGAGACAAGATATGGAGAGAGAAAGAAAGAGAAGAGAGGGAGAAAGACAGAGAGAGGGGGAGAGAGGGAGAGAGAGAGTGTGTGCCTGAGATACCATGCCACTGTTAAACCCTGATATCCAATTCAGACACTGTAACCTGACACCTTGACTCTTAGCAGAAATGAACTCCATACATAATACCCATGTGAGGAATCGAACTCGGGTCTTCGGCATGACGGGCGAATGCTTTGACCTCTAGGCTACCCCACCACCTCTTTCCCAAAATGAACATGTTGGTGAAAAAATACATTATGGTCCTGGCATGGTTTAAACCAAAGACCCAACTAACGATGAAAAAAGTAAGAATGGGACATTGATTACGAGGAGAGTCATGACGCATGCATTACAAAAAGTGGTAAAAATTGGTTTAATACTGGCTGAATCCATGTGTGCGGTGTAAAGATAACAGATCATTTAAACTCAATTTCTTTTTCGACATCGACGAAAATGACAAAAATGTAAAACGTTGACATTAATTTCCGATGAATTCGGTTCAATTGACACCTTTAAGAGTCGGTAAAGATGCAAGTTCTTTCAATAGAAAAAAAGGAAGAGAAAAATGCGATCTGGTGTCATTGCTTTTACGATTGGTCTTTAATGGGCCTCGAAGTCTGTCAGTCTAGAATTACCGTATCGGCAGAGATCAGAATCTTCTGCTGTTTTCCTTCAGCTAATGGAAATCATCACTGGGAAAAAGCATTTCTTGCCTGATACGCTGTCTCCGTGACATTTCCGACTCAGTCCCTAGCCTCTTGTATATCTGTCGGTGGAAATCAGTCGGAAAGAAAATACGATTTGGGCATATTAGTGAAGAAGTAAATCCAATTTTAGATGAAGGTGAGTGTGGACCTGCGATCAGCTGATGTTATTTAACAATCCGAGAATCAGTGCTGATTCACCCCACACGGAAATTTAATCCCAGTCAGCCCAAGCTGATGCTGTTCAAGAACTACAGGAAGTCTGTAGTGCTGCGGCAGCCATCTTGAAATCGGCTCTAATTTGCTTCATCGAAAATATTCCAACTGATTTACTTCAAATTGGACTCCCATTACATACAGTCCATGCTGTCAGGCCATTGATTTTCGCAAATGTCCATCGAGAGGGGGTTATTTTCGGGTCATCAGACATTGAACGAATCATTGTGCAACTGTCTCCAAATACCATGCATGTCGTTTATATATTACCTGAAGATCCGTGTAAGAATTGGTCTTCAGCAACCCATGCCTGTCGTAAGAGAAGACTAGCGGCTGACTTGGTAAATGCATGTCGTCGTATCTCAGCTGTGTAGATTGGTGCTCATGATGTCAATCACTGGAAAATTGTTGATGAAATGAACAAAACACCAACTCGTTCATACTCCCGCGTGACGTAATTACAGAATGGGCACATTTTTGGCAGGGTGTCATTTCATTGAGGTACTAGTGCCACAGCCATCTAAGCGCCCCAATTCCCTGTGTACTGATTTGTACAATCCGTAGGTTCGAATCCCGTTTCTGTTTCTAGGTTTGTCAGCACCAAACCTGTACTGGTTAGTGTCACCAAAATAGTAAACACAAGAGACCTACCATACTTCGGGTCTTCCTCCCACATCAAACAGATACGCCATGATGATACTGAAATACTGCTACAAGCATTACACCAAATCGTTTACTCATATAGAACATTCATGTTATCGACTGTCGTCTTATAAATGTGAATATAATTTATTTATCTTACGTAAGTATAACTCTTAATGGCAACATAATACAACGGAACGATTTCATCTTTACTATAATTCCTGCTGGATCATCGGTGTAGAATGTCCTCTTACAACCCATTGTGATAATCAGAGTATCAGTGCACTCAGAGAAATCCACAATTTCGTAGCATTTTCAATCCCAGATAAACTATGGAAACACTATCACAGACAAATGGAAAACACTTGAAATCAGACTGCGTTAGTGTGTGATGAAGTCAGACCTTTCCTTAAAATGCGCGCTGTCTTTCAGAAAAACGTTTAGCAACGGTGCACAGCTGGTGCTTATTAGTGTTAAAAATAACCTGTCTTCAGATGCCATCATCTTGGAGTTCTGTTGCACTAGTGGGCGTCATCCATTGTTGTCCCCCTAGCGTGTCCACGCTTTCAAGAACGCAACACTCTTTAGTGAATATTTTAAATCTGAACGATGTTTCTGTATACATAAACCGGAACCCGTTCTGTGTTGAACTGTTTCGTCTGCCTGATTGTCATTGGACTGTCTTGTTTGACCTTCCTCCAACCCCTTACCATGCTTTAAGTATA